GCATACCCACATACAATAAAGACTTTAAAAAAATTTTATTTGTCGCATTAAGAGTACATTCAGGTACCGAAAGCGGTTGATGGGAGAAATTCATTTTATGTACTGGATCCCGGTGGCGATTTAGCCGACACACAACAACGCCTAACGAAAGAACTGCGAAAATTTACCAGCTGGAAGGGAACAATTGGAGAGGCTCCAAAGCCCGAAGAACTGCGTAACTATCTGGAAACTAGCGATTTGTTTTTGTAAGCTTCATTCATTTTTATGCGTTTTTGCTGTGCAGCGCTAATACAGTGAGCAGAAACGCATCTTTTCGAGATCCTGTCTGTGCGTGCGACCTGAGTGCATTCTGTTCGAGGCCTTTAACTCGGGAACCCGAGAAGCTAGAAAGCTAGAATTTTGAGGGGATTTCCCTATCCGTGTGTGATCTCGCAAACTTAAATTCAACGTTCGTGCGCGCCTAGGCTTTACATACGGTCGCGTGAAAATTTTAGTATCTAAATTAATAACTCGAGAAGTAGCTGGAATTTCAGAAAAAATGTTCCTTGTCCAAGTGTGACCCGTAAATTTAAATTCAGCTTCCACTTGCGCCTGGCCTCACTTACGGAAATATGAATTTGCGCTAAAATTAATAGCTTGGGAACCGGCGGACTGGGGGGCTGAAAATCTGAAAGAGTGTCTATTGCCTGCGTGTAAACCCGGTAACTAAAATTCAGCTTCCTTGCATGCCTAGATCTCACGTAGGGACACGTGAAATTTTTGGAACCAAAATTAATAACTCGGGACCGTGAAAGCTAGGGGCTGAAATTTCCGAGTAATGTTCCAGCCCACGTATAAATTTAGCTCCTACGTGCGCTTACTTCTCAGACATGAGCGCACAACTGTTTTGGCGCCAATATTAATAACTCGGGAGCTACAAGAGCTAGTGGGCTGGAATTTTGGGGTATTGCTCCTTGTCCGCGTTTAAACCATCCCCACATACGTCCAGGTCCAACATACGAACATTTGAAAGTTTTGGCGCCAAAACTAAGGACTCGAGAATCACAAACAGTGAAGTATCGGCGCCAAATTAGCATGTAACATATTAAGCAGTAATGCAGTGAACACTTGTAACAGCAAATTTCTCTGAACAGAGTTGCGCAAGCATCAGCTGGAGTGGTTGCAAATGCATCTCTTGAACAGAATTGCACAGGCGTTCACTAGGCAGGGTTTAATATCGCTTTATCCCACACCACTTTTATATCACATCATTCTCTCAAACAAATTCTCATTTCATCTTATTCGGAACATCATTCGTATTTTAATTACTGTATTTCTTTCTGAGTTGCTGCGGACACACACACACACACACACACACACACACACACACACACACACACACACACACACACACACACAAGCACACACACACACACACACACACACACACACACACACACACACACACACACACACACACACACACATAGGCAGCCTCTTCCCAATATGCGTTTTTGCAATTTACATATATGCAAAAACGCATAATGAAAAAATAAGAGCTTGTTATAATGCGAGAATGTTGAGATTACCGTGACAATATGCGTTTTATACTGCTGTTACACAGCACAAAACGCATAAAAAAACTGCTGCTGACCAAGAAACCTTGCCAGCTGTTAATTTTTTACTGAACAGTTTGACTTTTTCTAAAGACATTCTTTTTGCTTTTTTTGTGCGATAGAAAGGTTTTCAACTTTTCTCAGCCGCTGTACGAAGTGGTCAAACAGATCCAACTCAGTACTGATCTCAGAAAAATCTTTAATTTCTATCACTGCATTACAGCTATATGGGCCACGGAAGTGGTTGTAGGTATTTTGGACGATCGGCAGTGCTGCACAGTAATTGTCGCGCTGTAGCACTTCTCATGGGCTGCTCGAGGTAATTTTAAAAATTATTCTGGATCCCATCCAAAAATGTACTTTATTGGTTGAAAGCAATTTTTTGGCTGTTCTAGAAAATTACTTTGGACATTTGCTATTTTGTCGCTGCACCTTTTTTCGTGTCGTCGATTGAGCTTGTAACGCTTCCATTTTTCGTAGTTGTATGTTCGCCTCATCTCCTAACACTTCGTGCTGGGATTTAATTGAATCGTTCCATCTTACTGGTACTCCCTTTGCAAAGGTACCATAAACAGTCTACTTTCACCTGTCTGTTGTTGGAAGCAAAATTAAACATTATGCATTTTTGCATAATTCCATGTTAACCGGTTATTTCATTTTCAGTGTTCGCATAGTTCACGAAGGTGAAGGGTTCGATGGTCGGAGCGCTGTGCACGATTACGTGATTGCAAAATGCCCATGTGTTGTTGGTTGCCTTTGGATGGTAAGACTCATTCAAGGATTCACGGACTGTGTTTTATTGCAGATTTTTCACTTTTAGTACTCATTTGACTTTCAGGTTACCGATGGTGAAATTGACCGAGTATTGGTAGCTCTTCTCAGGTACTGCTTTTCGAAATCCGGGAAAAGCGCAGGAGGCGAAACTGGAACAAGGTAAATTTCGAAAAACTTTTTCTGTGGGGAGGAAGGGAGAAGGGGGAGGGGTCATAATCAAAAAATCATCTCATTCTAGCCTACATATCCTGCACAGGAGAATCCCCGCAATAAACTGTCGATAGTCAACGGAAGCCTTACACTGAAAAAGATGTGCATATAAGTCAGTAGCACGCGCAGTATAACAGTAATATATAATGATTCAAAGGAACTGCAGATTTTGAAGAAGACTCAAATCGCTACAAACAAGGCTTCGTTCGCGACAGGGTTTAGCAGGCCTTCGGTGGGTGTTTAAGTGAACACCACAGCAGCAGTGAAACTGCACACAAGCACCTGAGTGGTCTAGGAAGAACATTAGTTCGGCTCTTTTCAAGGAACAACTTTTTAGCTCATCGTACCGTTTGCT